CCAGAAAAACATCGACTTCTGCTTCATTGACTATGCTAAAGCCTTTGATTGTGTGGATCACAACAAATTGTGGCAAATTCTTAAAGAGATGGGAGTACCAGACCATCCTATTTGTCTCTTGAGAAACCTATATGCAGGTCAAGAAGCAACAGTGAGAACTGGACACAAAACCACTGATTGGTTCAAAATTGAGAAAGGAGTTCGGCAAGGCTGTATACTGTCGCCCTGTCTATTTAACTTATAAGCAGACCACATCATGAGAAAGGCGGGCCTATATGAATCACCAGTTGGAATTAAGATTGCTGGGAGAAATATCAACAACCTCAGATATGCAGATGATATCACTCTTATGGCAGAAAGTGAAGAGGAACTAAAGAGCCTCTTGATGCAGGTGAAGGAGGAGAGCACAAAAGTTGGCTTGAAACTCAACATTAAGAAAACTAAGATCATGGCATCCGGTCCTCTCACTTCCTGGCAAATTGATGGGGAAGAAATGGAGGTAGTGACAGATTTTATTTTCCTGGGCTCCAAGATCACTGCAGACGGGGACTGCAGCCAAGAAATTAAAAGACACTTGCTCCTGGGGAGGAAAGCTAGGGCAAATCTAGACAGCATACTAAAAAGCAGAGGCATCACCCTGCCAACAAAAGTGCGTATAGTCAAGGCTATGGTTTTCCCAGTTGCAATGTATGGCTGTGAAAGCTGGACCATAAGGAAGGCTGAATGCAAAAGGATTGAGGCCTTTGAATTGTGGTGCTGGAGGAGACTCCTGCGAGTCCCTTGGACTGCAAGATGATCAAACCGGTCAGTCCTAGAGGAGATCAACCTTGACTGCTCTTTAGAAGGCCAGATACTGAAGATGAAACACAAATACTTTGGCCACCTAATGAGAAGGAAGGACTCCCTGGAGAAGAGTCTAATGCTGGGAACAATAGATGGCAAAAGAAGAAGGGAACAGCAGAGAATGAGGTGGCTAGATGGAGTCACTGAAGCAGTCGGTATAAGCTTAGGTGGACTCCGGGGGATGGTGGAGGATAGGAAGGCCTGGATGAGTGTTGTCCATGGGGTTGTGATGTGTTGGACACGACTTCGCGACTAACAACAATTTTAATGGCTCCCAAACATGAAGGTTTCCACTATATATTATTTCCCGCATACACCTGTCTCCCACATGGTTAGTCATGGTTAGTCATTTCCTACCCATTAGTTATTTCAGCAAACCACCAGTGTTGGCTACTTAGCTAGAACATAGGCAACTAACATTGGGGTGGGGGAGAACTGAAGGTCACAGTAGCTGGAGCCAAATGAGCAGCCCACTGCATGGAAAAGGGATAAAATTCAATCCTGCAAAACCACAGAATTGTGGAATGGAGGGGCGGGGGGAGCCAAACTGTAACACCTCAAGCAATCCTCCATACCACCTTTTTCTGCTTCAGGAGCAACCCCTCACTCCACTGCACAGAGGCAGCAAAGTGTGTGTGTGTGTGTAGGGGGGGGAATGAATAGATTAATTCCCTTATACACACTTGCCAACTGTCTTCCTCTGTTATTGCTGCATGTACTGCTTACAGTTCAGGAATGCATGGAAGGCCAAGGGTGCAGTCCAATACACTCTGCTGCTCTGCAAGATGACCACTGGAATGGTCTGTGCTGGTACCACACAGGAATATCCATTGTGAAAAAAACTATTGCCATTGTTCAAGATAAAACGTGAATGATAATAGCAAGCAAAGTCACATGCTGCACCAGATCGTTAGCAATGAGGAATGACATTTGCAGCTCCTTGTGGACACCTACTTTAAGTCCCTTCCCAGCTTTGATAGGCTAGCTTAGTCTAATTTTTGTAAGAGGTAGCATGAAGTTTGCACCCTTAAAAGCCAGGTTTCTCCTGGTGTTTGCAAGATTGGAGGAAATAAATCTTTATGGGCACTGGTTATGCCTGCACTGGTGTCTCTTTGCATTTCTCTATTGAGAATAGATTCTACCTGATGACTGGCTAGAGCAGCCTTGGGATCAATGAGACTAGCACACACCAAGGCAGGTTGAGGGTAAAAACCTGGCTGCTGGGAGGCTAGAATTGTACTGGGATTACCAGGTGCAGAAGGAAGAACTGGATACTGAGAAGGAATCTGGTTACCTTTCTGTCATTAGGTGCCATTTTATGATGTCCCTTCTTCCACAGTGAAAACAAACAACCTCACCTGTCTGTGCTTTAGGTCTATTTGCAGGAACTAGGGTTAGAATAAACCCTTTTGAAATCCATTCCTTCAAAATCTGCTAACTTATGCTCAGCCCAGTCCTGCAACATGAGTTGAGCCAAGAGGAAGTCCACAGATGCTCATGGACCCCCAGTTGATCAACTGGCAACCTTCCCCATCCTCCCATGCTGCCAGAGGCAGATGCAGAAGTACAAGCAAATGGTGCCTGGCAGATGCCATTCACAGCAACCAACAACTTCTCTGCCTGCTGCTGAAAATGGGGGAGGCAATTCCTGGTGAGCGCAGCTGCAAATGCTGGGAGTGCTCACCAGGAACTCAGCCTCTGGCCACTGCAAGGCAGACTGGAATCCAGGGAGCCAAGCCCAGGGAATCTGACAGATTTCCACCCCCAAACAGATTCCTCACACATCCCTAGCAGGAACTATAGTGCTAGGCTCTTGGGATTTGTAGTCTGCGTTGTGGGGTGGTCCTTTTGAGTTTTGGGGTGGTTTCTACTGCTTGTTGGGGCTGCTGTGTCTCCTTCCCAAAGTTCCTCCTTCAGCTTTCCTTGGCAACAGTGCATATCCCAATGAGTGATGCTTGGCTACTTCCCAAAACTGTCGAGAGCAGGATAAAAAGATCTGTTCCACTCCGGAAGAATGATAAATTCCCTTTGCACTGAAAAATCAAGCTCCTTGCCGTGCCACCATTGTGTCAACAGCTGTTCCAAATAGCTACCAACTGTCAAAATCTCAGAGGCACGTTTTTTCAACACACTAAAGTTTCTGCAAGCTCTGTCAGTTGTAGTGATTTCTGACCCTGAGTTTTAAGAGAATGCAATCGTTATGCTCTGCACAAGTGATATCCCTATAGATCTATTCCAATCTGCCAGTGTCCCTTCAGGAAAAGCTTATGTGAAGAGAGGAGTTTTAAGAAGCATGCCAACATCAGAAAACTGGGGCCCTCTCTAACACCAGCGGTAAAGCATCCCAAAGGGTGGGCGCTACAACACTAAATGCTCTACTGGAAATGTTCCTGAAGTCTACCTCACTCTTTCACATTCATCACTGGAATCTGAAGCAGAGTTCAGCAAGCTGGATCACAATCAGTCCATCCCCCACTTGCATCTTTGCTACTTTTCAGCCCTGACCAAATACAAGAGAGACACATGCACACATCCTGTGTGTATTCCAATTTCAAAACACTTGCAGGCATTTGATTCAGGGCATTTTTCTCATTTGGAATGTCTCATACAACTCTTCAAAAACTCATCCTATCACCTGTCAGGAATTTGTAACGGATCTGGTAGTGCATGTACATTTGTGGCAGGAATGGCTTTCCCTGTTGACAGAACCCTTCTTGACATAATTACCCAAAAAGTAATTATGATGGCCTGCCATGAATCCTGACACACCCTTGTCTATCTAGCCTCTTGGAAGTTCTAAGCACTTCAAATCCTGCTGTTGGAAACAAGACGACGACAACCCAGCAGCATGAGCAGCAGGGTGGGGAACAAGTGAAAATCCTAAGAACACAAAGGCTTTGCTTTGACTATGCATCTGTTTTAATGAGACATTTCCTTTTAAACAAAATGCAGACAAGTATCTAGATATAAAAAAGAAGTTTATAAAAAGGAAGAATGATCAAAGGGAACCACAAAGAAAAATTCTGAATAGAACAATCAATAAAGTAATTCTAAGCTAGTCCTTTTTAATTCTTTGAACAGGAACTTGTTAGAGAATTTATAGGGTTTATTACAGAGTAGATGATCTATGTGTGTGTAAAGAGGGAGGGAAGGAGGAAAGGAATCTTGAACCCAGTGAATCTTGATTAGAGATTGTTCAGGAAGACTTCACTGAGTTATGGGAATTTGAGATCAGTGAAGTTAGTTTCTTTGTAGAGACTATTTTGTCCATCAGTGGAATTCTCTCTATTTCAAATATCAGTACTATAGACAGAAAATCAGAAACATACATCATGGCTGTAATCTCCTTACGCTCGTTAAAGGCTCTTGAATTACAAAAGACCAGACTGGTTCCAATTGGCCAAATGTATAGGGGCTGTTCACAAGACAAAACAGCCACCATGTTTTTTTAACCCACAAAGAAGCTGCACTGTGTGCAGTAGGCACCATTTTGAATATGCAATTCTTATCCGGGGGTTGTCACAGATGAACGTGGGTTGTATAAAAGTTAAACAACCCTCACATTACCCACTCTTGCTGGGTTTGCATAATGTCACACCGTCCAAGTTGGAGCTGGATATGTATCCTGGTGCCATGTTCACTGTAGAACCCACTGTAGAACCCATGTTCACAACCCATAATGGGCCATGGCATGTTGGCTAAACCTGGTCCATGCAAGAGAGAGCTTATAGTGCAAATGCTTATTGGGGAACTAATGTTAACATCTGGCCTGTTTAGTCTTCCTGACATGCTGCCTATATGCCAGATGTGCAAGGGGGCACTGATGAGCTATAGCAGAATATAGGCTTTCACTACAAGAATGCAATGGAAGACTTCAGTACAGTTTTCTTGCTGTTGTTAAATTGTTGCTTGCAGCTCAGGGTATGACTGAACCTTTCTCTTAACTGTCAACAATAAGAAATTCTCTAAGATATAGCAAAAATTACTATACTAATAAATGGTTGCAATATGAAGTTATAAGTAACCCTGCAAGTAACCCTGCAGATGCAGATTGTTCCTTCCTGGAAAATTTGGAGACTTCGTATTTGCTTACACGAGTATGTTTAGATTAATTTCAAACATAAAATCCCCAAAGGTTTTCACAATCTGTTTCTTACCTTACTGGCTTTTCCATTTTTCATATCGAATGCGAGTTCTTCTTGCACAGAGTATTTGTCATCTGCTCATACCAAGAGAACAGAACAATGCAATTAGAGATGTTAAGCAATATATTTGAACTGCATGATAAATGCTAAAAACAAGGAAACTTTGTAGAAACAGTGCCACTGCCATGCTAGCCTTGCCTGTGATGCGTACAAATGTATAGATTTGGCATTTACCTTTCTCCTGCTTAGGCAACAATAGCCTGGCAACTATAACCCATCCAATCTGATGGTACCTAGCAACAGTTTTAATTATCTTCCTACTCAACAACTGATATTTACATAATCAAGAGTGCTGTCCATGGAGCTGCTGCATTCACATATCCTAAGAAAACTGGTGATACTGAATACGCCAGTTGACACCCAATATAATAGGTGAAAATGCCAAGCAGCTGCCCATTGGAAATTGGTAGAGCTAATGCGATGAGTCAGTAGCAAACTATTGGTCACAGGTGAAGATGCAGAAAGGGCAAGATAGTTTGGCTGGTAGGGGAATAAAAAATACATGGAAATGGGACACAGTCTTAACCAAATGCTGCAGGCAAAACAACGGGGTGAAGAGGGAAGAATGCCTAGCAAGCTGAGTGGCAAGAAACAGGGCTCCAGAATCCATCCAGTTTGACAGAGTGAGGGAGCAGAACAGGTGAGGAGATGGAAGACAGTGGACCAAGACAGGGCGAAAAAGAAACAGCAGCAGGGAAAAACAAGAGAAAACCAGGCAAGTTCTAGGTCTGTGCATTAGTTGCTAGGAAAGGAATTGGACTGTTAGTTAGTGAGCTGTTAGCAAGTGAGCTGATAAGCATGGAAGCCAGTAACACTTGGTGTGTCACAGGAAGCATGCAGTCAATCAAATCTTGGCTAGTCTCCAGGTGCCTTAACAGTTGCTCCCTGTACAACACCACTTTCAAGGAAAATCTCAGAAGTCATTATGCTTTGGTGCACACAGAATGGACCATCTACAAGACAATATAAATGAATATTACAATGCTTGAAATGCATTGGCTTCTCCAAAGGAACCCTATCTGCTAGTTTTCAGAGAACACAGACAATTGTAGCACTCATAGTGCTACAATTCCCTAAATATTGTAACTGGCTTAAGACCAGAATTTATTTACTTTGTACCTTCTGCAACAAAACGTGGACTTAGCACAATTTGCCACCAGAAATCTGCACAAATCAGCCCCCCTCCAAAATGCATATATTTGGAAAATATTTTTAAAAGGTACATTAAAAATGCATGCAATCACCCTTCAGCTAATGAGGAAAAAGGTGCACAACTGAAAAATGCACACAAACATACAAACACTAAAAATGCATAACAAATGCATATAACTTTCCAGGTGAATGCAAAAAAGCCTTGCAATTTGAAAGAGACCTTAGTGAAACAATCTTTGATGGGGAAGTCAGATAGCTTTCCGCTTGACTGATCCATGCTTCCTTAGTAAAGAAAGATATCACATGGGGGGAGAGTATCCCTGCTGCACTACACAGCCTGACTAGCCAGATCCAATGTGTTGTGTGTTGGGGTGGAGGGAATGACACCATCTTTTAGTTTTTTTCTGGGGAATGTTTTCTCCTACCATCCACTTTATCATCCTCTTGATGTGTTGAGCATTGCTGAGCCATTGAAAAACAATGGGATAGCTTATTTTCCATTCCAGCAAATGTTATGCTTCTAATATCCTCACAGCTGAAGTCCTCACAGTTCTTTGATTCTGCAGACTGAACACACATATTTTTGGTTATGAATATTAAAACTCCTAGCAGAGATGGTGGGATTTATATCCTATGGAAAGGAGAAGCCCAACTAAAAAAGAAAGAAAAAGTTGTAAAAACAACCCTAAAACAACCCTTTTTTTTTTCAAAAAAAAAAGTTGAAAAAACAACCCTACTTTTAGTCTAAACAGAGACCTATTGGTGCCATCTATTAAATTAACTCTGTGTTCTGTATTAATCTCAAACTGGGCTTTTGCAGGTTGGGAAAGGCTGCCATGCCCAGCAGAAGCAAGCACAACTAACAGGCTGCTTTCCCAATTTGTAAAATTAAACTAACCAATTTGTCCTTCCCACATCCTAACTGTTGAATGCTATGAAGATGATGCAAATTGAGAATATTGGTCTGACAGTAAACATAGATAAAGGGTTTTTTTCAGATCACAACCTTAATGGATATCAAGTTTCAAATGAAACATTTGTACTTGATGCATTACCTGTGTGAAGCTTAGTGTGCATTCCCCCATTTTAAAATGATCTTTTGCATATTTCTGAAACATAAAGCTGTCTTCACCTTCAGAAATCCGCAGAAGAAGTGCTTTAATAACCTGTTGAACATATAGGTTTGTTGCATGGCATTCTGATATTCTTTCATAGAAATCTTTCAGAATTCTAAAAACCAATTCTTTCATTTTTTCTGCAGGAACCAGGTTTCCTTTTTTTTGGTCAGACTGACTTGTATACTCTAAAACCTGCTTATGTAGTTCCTTTCTTTCATCTAGCACAGCATTTTTGTCTTTTGCCAGAGTCTCAGAAATTTCCAGCATGGCTTCCAAACTTTCTTCTAGATGCCAACCTTTTTTCTTTTCTAATAATGTTTTCCAGGTCTGACATAGTACCAACATTTGATCAGTTTCTGTTAGCATCTTGCTGTTTAATGAAGCAGCATCTTCATTTTGCAAAAATGTTTTCTTTAAATTAGCTGCAGTGTTGTCTTTGGAAGTATCCATGTTTGCCCTCACAAAGCAGCAATTATCATGATTCATTACATAGTCAGAGGAAGCTTGAATTTCTGCTTCAAGTGTCCTTTTTTCCACACATTTACTTGTTTCAGTTAATACTTCTGCTTCATGAATGTCACCATTAAAGCTATAAAAGAGAAAGGGAAGAAATTAAGACTAACAGCCAAAGTTCCTTATGAGCATTTAATTGAACGTTCCAACTGCCTAACTTTTGTTCATATAGAATTGCCTTATTTCATTAATTGCCACACAGTTTAACACATGTTGTTAAAAAACCTTGTAGCAGAGTGCTATCCTGCTCTAGAAATTCTTTGATTACAGAAGTGCCAATGGGCTTGTGGATCTCTTTGGCATGGAAGTGACTCCTCATTCATTGGTATATTATGAACAACTCCATGCATGCATTTCAACTCAGAACACCAAACTGTGCAGTGAAAAAGAAGGCCCAGTTTTGCAAAATCTTTTCACGCAGAGTTCTAGATTTGGAGCTATGTAAAACTTCCTCAACTTTGGCCCTAATACTTGCATTTCACTCTGAGGAAAACAAAATCTGGATGACTTTAAAATGTGCCCTTTTCATTCTGTGCACTATCACCTCCATTCAACTTGGTTTCATAAACCCACCTCCTGGTTATATTTAGAACAAGGATTTCTTTCCAATTTTAAGTTTGCACATTGTTCAAGAAAGATCCAAGTTTCTAAACACTAAGCATAACTCAGATAATGACACAATCTTTCTCAAGAAACTGAAATGTATACATAGATTAGATGTTCCTGGATGGCAGGAATATCTCTGTGCTATTGTTAGTGTCCTTTCCCCTTCCTATTTTTGTTACTTACTGAAAGTTTACGTTCTTTGCTAACAAATAAAAATTCCAAAGTTCTTTGAATGATAGCTACCCTTTATGACAGAAAAACTCAACTCAATGTAATTTTGGCTAAATCAGAACAATAGCCCCCTCCCCTGGTAAAAATTCTGGCTTCCTCTCAGGTTTACTTAAATTTAGCTTGCCCATGTTTTCCCTAAGATATTCTGCATAAATATATTGTTTTATGTAAATTTGTATTCCATCAGTTCAGTCTGGATTAGTAATGGATGCATCTGTACAAATGAAGCTGATTAAATACTAGCCAAATTGGAGAGTCATCATACTTCCTCTGGAAGACATTCAGACATGGACAAATTATGGCTTGGGGACAGCTATCAAGAATATCTCTGTGTTGGGCTATGCCAAAATGTTGGGAGGTACTTTTCATTAACATTTCCCCTTGCAAAAGAAGCTCAGTTTTGGCTAGGGTGCAGCTCTGTGGGATCAAAAATATTCCTCCCTGATACATGTCATTTAGGTGGCAGTACTCCCAGAGAGAAGGCTACTTTGCAGTCCCACAATCAGTCCTGCTCAAAACTTGGTCTTTTTCCTAAAACCAGTTAGCATCACATAGCTATATCTGGCTGTGAAAAATTCAGCGTTTCTAGAAAGAAGACTAATCTGAACAACAAAATTTGGTATCAAAGAGCATCCAATTCAACAAAAAGCCAGTTCAAAGGGTTGTATTTTGGCAGGGAATTTTAATAGAATGTTTTGAGCTCCATTAAAAGTTTTTTTCACATGTGGAAAACACTTATTCTACAAATATTTGGTATGCCCCTATCTGTAAACTGATGACTGGTATTTAGAATGGTGTTCTCTTGATTTTATTAGGATCATAAAATAGTAGAGCTGGAAGGGGCCAAGGTGGCCATCAGATCCAACCCCCTGCTCAGTGCAGGACTCCAAATTAAACCATTCCTCTCAGATGGCTACATGGGAAACTTTTTACTGTTTTACACTGAAAGTTGTCTATGCTCTTTAACTCCAAATTAATACAGTTCATTGTGATGAATGAAGCAGAAATATAATATGCTCCAACTATCCCTTATTGCCACGAAACAAAAGCAGCATTTTCTGTTACAACTGCAACCTAAGGAAAGGAAAGGAAGGAAAGGAAATGACCTTCAAGAACAGGCTAATGCATGGTACATTACAATATCCTCTATATATGCTTAATGTTTTTCTTGTTGTATGCTGTTGTTTCCAACTTATGGTGACCATATGGATGAATGCTGTCTAAAATGTGCTGTTCTAGACCGGCTTGCCCAATTCTTGTAAACTCATGATTTGTGCCTTCCTTTAAGGAATCAGTACATCTCATAGCTGTCCTTCCTCTTCTTTTGCCTTCTACTTTCCCTAGCATTACTGCTTTCTCCAGTGAGTTTTGCTTCTCATGAAGTACAACAGCTTCATTTTTTGTCATTTATGCATCTCCAGGGAATGTTCTGGCTTGATTTGATCTACAGCCCACTTATTCGTCTGTCAGTCTGAGGTATTTGCAATGTTCTCCTCCACTACCATCTTTTTGATGCATCATTTTTTTTTCTCCTGGCAGCTTTCTTCACTGTGCAACTTTCACACCCATACATAGTGACTGGCAATAAATACTGTGGATGATCTTGGCCTTGATTGCCAGTGAAATGTCTTGACTCTTGATCTGTCCTAGTTCCTTCACTGCTCCCCTTTCTAGTTTCAGTTTTTTTCTAATTTCTTGGCTGCAGTCTCTGTTTGAACTGATGACTGGACCTAAGATACATACAATCTTTCACAATTTCAGTTCATTTTGTTGACAGTAAATTCAGCTGTACTAATGATTTTTGCTTCCTTAATGTCCAGCTACAATCCTGCTTTTGCACTTTCCCTTTCATCATGAGTTCGTTTCAATTCAATATGGAATCTGCATATCTTACATTAGTGATGTACCTTCTACCAATGTTCACTCCTGCTTCCTCTCATCCTAATCCAGCTTACTTTATGATATATTCTGTGTATGAATTGAATGGATAGTAAGATGAAATACACCTTTGTATGATGCCTTTGCCTATAGGAAACCATTCTATTTTTCCATATTCTGTCCTAAGAGTAGATTTTTGTCTACAATACAGAATATACACATCAGGACAATCAAATGCTGAGCCACAGCATTGTTTGTTTTAGGACCATTCATAGCCTCTTGTGATCTACACCAGTGGGGTTTTTTTACAGCTGGGGACCGGCAAAAATAGGAAAATCATTTTGGGGACCACTGAGGCAGAAACAAAAAGCATTATACACACACACACACACACATATATATACATATACATACACATAGTATTTTGTGTATTAGTTTTTAAATATAGTACAAAAAAAGAGAAAATTCTCTAAAATAACCAGAAACCAAGCAGTAAAAATGCTAATAAAAGAATAAAATATTGAAATTAAATGTAATCAAATGCAACTGAAATTTTTAGAGAGCAATATGTAATTCAAATAAGGCTCCTGAAAAATCTGCTGTTGCTCCTTTTCAAGAATACTTGATCAAAACTTTATAATAACAAAATACAAAATGAACATAAATGCAATACTATGCTCATAGCAAATACAAATGCAATATTAACAGCAGAGCAATACAAAATTAAACAAAGTTGCTTAATACAATACTACTTATAATGTTAAATACAGAAATACAGTGAACTCCACCCACTCAAATCCCCTTACACACCAGCCCAGACTGGCTGAGAAAAACCCTCAGCACATCTCCACCTCAGCATCTCCCTTCCCAGAAAAAGGGAAAGGCCTTTGGGGCCTCATCCAGAGGGTGACCAGGAGCGATGGGCTCTCAGCTAGCACTGACTGAGCTTCCTCTTTGGCTGAGGAAGAGGCGGGGAATCGGCAGCCAGAGCACAGCTAGCCTGCATTGGTCCTGGTGAGCTAGATGCTCTTTCACAGACCGGCCGTTCTGCGGACCCTTGGTTGAAAACCACTGATCTACACCATCAAAAGCATTGCT